AACGGGCTGCAATAGCCCAGATATTTCGACAAGACCGGTTCCTTATTGTCTTTGCCGCTGCTCTTCTCCTCTATGGTGAGGTAACCGATCTCGGTTGCTTCACCGGAGTCAACAAGGGTGGCAGATCGCCGACAAAAGGCCTTGACTGATAGCACCCATCAGCCGACCTCAATGGGCGGATATCGAGTCATATGCAAATAGTCCAACTTGTCACACTCCTAATTCGAGAAACCCCTTTGCGCCGCCCGGGAGTCCGTCAATGTCGACTTTCGTATTCAAAGTTTGCACAAGAGATTCCGAGTGAAAAACGGGGCGCGATCAATTTCAGTCTACTTTACAAACTGGTTCCCTATTGTCCTACCAGTCGCAGTCTTTGCTACGGATACTTAAAACGCAGTTATCCGTCGAAATGTTTGTTTCTAGCTAGCAATTCATTAAACGTCTCTTTTATTTCGTACATGTATCGATCAGCGACATCAAAAGGAAGCCTGCAAGAGCGAGATTTGAACAATTTCAATTAAGCCGTTGCAATCGGGTTGAGATAGGTTGCGGAATGAAACCTAAACTTAAAACGCAGTAACTCACCCTAAAATCCTTATTCTCTCGAAGTAATTGGTTTAATATTGCGTAGTAATCTCAGTATTTTTATAACAGGTTTAATTTAATAACTGACAAACAAAGGAGAGGCGGACCGTACTTAATTATTATTGATTAGTAAGCTGTTGAAAAACACTTGAGTATGAACGGAGTTCGATTACTTCAAACGCAGTTATCCACCCTAACTGCCTTTTACTCTTGAAGCCATTAATTTAATATTGCGTTGTTGTAAAAGATTTTTATATTGGTTTCATACAAAAACAAAACAAAAGGATGAGGTCGTGAGTAGGTATTTAATATATATAAAAACAGAGTTTGAGAGATAGGGTAGTGCTGGATATTTAATTATGGTCTCTAGTTATTACTAATAACTTTTAAGCCTGGAAAAAAGTTTGAATTCATAACAAGTTCCTGAAAAAAACCTACAACTAAAAATAGGCATTGTTAATAGTTATTGTAATCTTATTGAAACACAAGAGTAAAAATTTAAAAATGTAGTACTTTACTTGATAAGAACTTATTATTTTATTAATTATTTTATGAGTCTTCTTCGTTTGCCATATCTCTCTATGTTGATCTGAAAGACGTGTTTCAGCATTTTGCAGTCTCCAGTGAGTCCTAATAATAATAACTAAATGATTTTATATTACAACCAAGAGAACTTGTATTTTAAATAAAAATTATCATTAAATAAAATAATAATAATGGTGACCCTTATTCAGAGAAAGGTTGCTCCGGGGTTTGAAGGCCACAACCCGAATCCTTATCAACATATTATTGTATATAATCTTCAAAATATGAGTGAGTGTATTTATTAGAGTGAATGGGGAGAGGCTGATGATGATATAGCATCCTCGCCACTCGAGGTCTGTACGTGACTTGGTTGATGGCGGAATATTTATAAAACTCATCGACCCCAATTAGATTAGTTTGTTATTGCCGCAGGTCGATGGAGGAATATTGAATTCTCCATTTACTAAATAGAATAAGTGCAATGCATATTGTTTGAAAGTATTTATTTGTGTGAATGCGTATTGAATGTGTGTTGTAATATTTCGCAAGCTCTCGGGCTGAAAAGACCAAAAAAACGGTGCTTTCAATACTTTATTAATTATTTATCAGTTTATTAAATATATAAATAATTAATAATTTTGAAAGGTATTGGTCAAGATAAAAAAAGTCCGCGTGACGAGCGGGATTCGAACCCACGACCTTCGGCTTGAGCTATCGTGACTTCGATCCGCTCGGACACCAACTTCCCATCTCAACCTCACCTCTCGAATTTTCCCTACTTTTTGAGATATCAGTTGTATTTTTATTTCCCACAAGAGTTAATTGAAATTAGCTTGTCAGAGTAAAAGCAAATCAAATATAAATTACCATGCTTAATATTTTAAAATAACAGCCGTTCTTTCATATTATCCCTAGTTTTGATTTTTTTTTTCAAACTTTAAAAATGAAGTGGTTTAATTTTTAAAGATTTTTAATTAAAATTAATTAAGGTCCGAAATTTTTAAATATTTTTCGACCTATTGATAGTTGTTGAAACTTTCTTTTTCTTTCCTTCACTGTTTGTCTTTCATAGTCTGTCTGTCACATTCTCGTTCATCCTCGATGCACCTACCTAAATCTCTCTCTCTCTCTCTCTCTCTCTCTCTCTCTCTCTCTCTCTCTCTCTCTCTCTCTCTCTCTCTCTCTCTCGTTCTTTCTCTCTCCTTATTTCGAATATCTAAATTATTACATTTTCCATCCAATATAGTCAAAGTGTTCTCGATCATGTAATGCAGCACCTCGTGTGTATTAACTTCAAGCCAAATTATATTTATAGATAAAAGATCTAATAAAATTCATCTCGTACAATAAATTACAGTAACCAACGTAGGCTCTTCGATGTCTGTCCCAGGATATAGAAAACGTTTTAAATTGTTCCCGCCGGTCTAGGATCATCGGCGCACGTGCGATGGGAGTCGAGTCGGACGTGACCGGAGGGAAGAAAAGCCCTGTCCATACATCTCTTTTCGCGCTTGGCTCCCGGCGGACATGTCCGAAAGCATTCATCGCCCCTGGAGGTTTTCCAGTGAGAGTTTATGATCTCCCAGTCAGTATTTGGGTTAGTGTGTGCTCTACCGCATCCTTTCAGAGAAACCTGGACATCAAATTCGGACCGCTTCAAATTAAGCATTAATAGATATTTTTGATTTATGTATTGAATTAAATTCAATAAATACTTGAAGTAAATGTGTAATTATTTTATTTAGATAATATACAATTCTAGTCAAACAAAGCAGCTGTGTCCTAAGCCTACTGTACTTTTTTAATCGTACTGCAAGTGGTTCTTATATTAATTTTTCTTGGATGTTTAATGTCCTAGACATTTCTCCTTTTATTCGCTTTTTTTAGAAAATGTATGTAAAATTACCAATTAAATAAATTCCAAATTCCAAGATCTTTCTTACAAAGAACCCCCATGTAAGAAACCCTTTATTTTAATCTTCATTCCTTTAAAGCAAAATACAGATAATTCGGCTATTCGTGTTACAAACTTTGCCAGGAGATTCTACATTCAAAATGGAACCAAAAAGTCCTAATTAACTATGATCCGAATTTCAACAGTTCCGGAGTTATTTCACTTTTTCTGATTTTTTAAGATTACACGACCTTGCTTCAAATAAACAATGGTAACTCCAAAACTAAAAGGTTTTGGACAGATCCGTTGTTACCGTTGAAAACTACGTAAAATTTTCAAAATGATATGATCAATACTAATTTTGTAAATTTACGTGAAATAAGCGTTTCAGTAGCGAGAACTTTGAATTTTTTTTGTTCAAAGTTGAAAATTCACTATGGCGATCCTAAACGACTATTTCTAAACCAAGAGACAGGCAGAAAACGTAACCCGTTTAGAAAAGTAATTAAAAAAGGAATTACACCACTAAAAAGGATATTAAATGGAGTACGTTTTCGGAAATTTGCTGCTCTATAGGTTTGGAAATAGTAGTTTAGAATCACCATAGTAAGTTTTTGAAAAAAAATTAGTTTCATTTCAATTAAATTCATCGAGAATCAAATAGATTACACGACATTTGAAAAATGGCAAAAAGGAGGGAAAATTCAAAAGGTGGGGTTGAGATGGGAAGTTAGTGTCCGAGTGGATCGAAGTCACGATAGCTCAAGTGGTAGAGTAGCGGCGTATCAAGGTGAAGGTCATGGGTTCGAATCCCGCTCGTGACACTGACTTTTTATCTCAACTAAAAGCCTTAATTAATTGAATATTAATTGGTCAAGCGGAACACGAAAAATAGTGAATTTAGTTTTCAAGGTCTCGCTACTAAAGCGCTGAACGTTTTGATACATAGACAAGGCAATAAATAAATAAATACATTATATACAGATTTTTTACAAGGCAAATTTTGTTTAAGTGAGGAAAAAATTCAATCATTATGGACATGTCATGTGACTATTTTTTTTATCCAGATGTTGGAAAATTGTGACTGGTGTGAAAATAACACTAGTGTGTACAAATTTTATGTTGGTTGGCTCTTTCCGATCAAAACATGTTTAGGAGAAGAAAGATGGTGAATAATGTGAAAAAAATCTAGAATATGAAAAAATTGTATACATTTATCGCATAGTTATGCTTAAACTTGGATATTGGTTATACATAATGTTTTAAACATGATTGTTATGTAGATTATGTAGTCTTTCCCTACCTATCTTGCTGTTTCAGTCTATCAGGCGCGTTTTGGCTTCTCGCCATCTTCAATGCTGGGTAAGGAAGAAAAATAAAAGACAGATACAGAAACAAAATTTTTTATGAAACTATCAAAACGGAGAGAATAGGCAAACTAACATTATCGTAAAAAGCAAAGTTTTATCTCTTTACCTAAAGAAAACTATCACAAAATAGTAAATTTTGGAAATTGGTTATACTACAAAACTATTGTACTGGTTTAGTTACAACATGAAGTTTATTATATGAACATTGGTTTGAACTTTCTTCTGAATTCATCTATCGAGTTTCATATTTAGAAGTTAAATTTCATTCGATTAAAACGAAGAATGATAAATAATACATTGGTTGATAATATTCAACTGATGTTTTATTATTCAGTAAAGTGGAAACATTTGGTGAAAGACTGGCCGCTGGCCCATTTCATATCAAGATGCCACTGCATTAACCTCTTAACATAAGAGGACCTCTACTAAATTAGAGATCCCCTCTTTGATACCAGTTGCATACAATAAAAGGAGGCAGAGCTGGACCCTAGAACGAGGCGATTATTCCTAAATTTACGACCAAAACCATATTGCTTTAACCTTTAACGTATCATATAACGGTTGCTCTTATGTAGGTTCTTATCTAAAATAATGTCCCGACTCTATGGTAAATGAATAACGGTTTGTTAGTTGTGAGATTCACTTACAGCCAGATGTGATACGCTTTCTTCTTTGACGACTTTTTCCCCTCGGTGATATCCTTGATGCACTTGGGTGATCAGGTCGGTGAAGATCTGAGGTGGTGTGTTTTCCGACAAATAGGAGAAGAACAGCCAGTCAGAGTAATTCAAGCCTTGGAACCAACTCCGATCAACGTTCGCTACAGGAGGCCCGAACAGTTTGTTAAAAAATTCTCCTTTGTGGAACAAAATTTGGAAAAACTCGAATAGAAGGTTTCCCGCTAGAAGGATTGCTGCGATAACGTCCAAGAACCAATTAACGACCATCACTTTGTCGAAGATCGAGTTGATTGTGAGCACGCAGTAAAAATCGAAGATTTGTATAGTTCCCGACGGTCCAAATTTGCGAAATGTACACTTTCCTACAGTCGGGAAGATAGACTCCAACTTGTCAAGTTTAAATCCTAAATACCTGTACTTTTGATTAAGAAATTTATCGGCAAAAAATACCCTGGTAAGAAAAGCTACTATGCTGAAAATTTCCAAGATAAAATAATTGAACATCCACGTTCTGTTGACGCTGTTGTCGATCCTTCCTTTGACGAGATCCACTGCTTCTAAAATGGCCCTGTCCTTCGAAGCAGGTGTCATAATTTTCTCGTCGCGAATGTCGCACTCTTCAGGGAAAGAGAGATAAGCGTGTCTGAGCTTCTCGAAGTCCTGGAGACTTTTTCGACAAGCTGGACCGTAGATGAGAAAAGGAGCGAGGTTAATCGCGCACTGGACGGCGAGGAATAACAGGATCCACGGATAATACGAAACGTACCCGTCGGCAGATGACATGCCGTAGAGGTAGCAGAATGTGTAAATGGCCGTTGGCACTTCCGCGCCTCCTAGGCATTTAGTACCTTCTACGAAATACACGATACTTGTAAAGGAAATGCTAGTTAAATAAAAAAGATTCATTGTCGTATGAAGGAATGATGCTGAAGCATTCCAGGTTCGTGTCTTGAATGAGCTTTTCTTCGCAAACCTGGTCGGATCATCCATATCGACTGAACTGGGCAGTCAGAAATTTTTATTGTTTACCTTTTAATAAAACAAATTCTCATGCGATGATTCATGACACTTTATTACCAAGCAGCGCAGCAGTTTCTTCTGCTAATTCACCGTATTTTGAACTTTTACATTTTTTTGTTTATAAAAATACAATTTAGTTTTTTTTAGGACTATGTAAGAATCTTTAAAAAAAATTCTAGTTTTATAATATATATTTTTGTAATGAGTGGATTAGGAGGGATGTTTTAAATGTATATTATTATTGACGGTAGGATAGTGAAATCAACAGTTTTCATCCGTCCTGTGGCAGGTAGGATCCCATTGTGACCTTTGGTTTCACAAAAACCAGTCGTACCCCTGCTCTTCGGCAGAATCGGACTTAATCGCGTTTTCTTTTCATAGCTGTCAGAGAACGGTCACTCCCCTCAAGATATATCGGTCTGGGGGACGGAAACGAGACAGCTATGGAGTGTCAGGACGTCATGCTCGCTGGTCACTCATTAACTCTCTTGTCCTCACACCCTCTCCGCTCTTATCGGATAATTAATGACGACCTATTACGATTTAACGACGTCCAGTCCTCCGTGTCCGAGCGGCATACGTCTTCTTCAAAACGGACGATCCGCCGTTTTGCGCAACCATCGGAAGGAAGGGGGGTCCGGCTATTATTATTAAACGTTGTCTGTACAAACTTTGATTCTAGACGTTTCAGAATGGAACCCATAACAATGGGAGTTCCGAACGACCATTTCGAATAGTTCCTTTCATTCTTCTTATGACACACAAACTGCATGAAATTGTTTTTCTATACTCTAAACTATGAATGAGTACCGTTGTATAAGGGTTGACGATAAACTGACATGTGATGAATTTTCAGCTTCAATTTTTCCTTTCATAAATACGACCAAATATGTAAATATCTAAATTGTAAAATTTTTAGTTAAGCATGGTGCATGCATAGGAAGCTCTGATAAACAATCATTTTATTAATTTCCGTCCACTTGCACCTAGTGGTTTTTTACACTTGTTAAATTTTTTCCACAATCTAAATCGGAATCGCCACCAGAAGAACATTCGTGAGTGTATTTATGAGTGAAGATTTGCAAAATTGGCACAAGTTTATTTAAACACAAAAAATCGTGCAATGAAATTAAAATTTTCTCAATTTCATATTTTAAAATTTCAAGATCCTTTTCTTTGCGTTTTTTATGTTGAAAATAGAATGAAACAAGCACGTAGATTTAGCGGAGTGATCAAATTTGCTGGGCGACCAAAGGTACAGAAGATATGCTGGCTTTTGTGGAAAAACTGGAATTTTATGAAACATAAACGCAAAACAGAAATATAACCATTAATTCCTTATTTTTCGTGGTCCTCTTGACCAATATCATTTAATCAATTAAGGTTTTAAGTTGAGATAAAAATTCAGTGTCACGAGCGGGATTCGAACCCACGACCTTCGGCTTGATACGCCGCTACTCTACCACGAGCTCTCGTTACACTGACTTTTTTATCTCAACTTAAAACCTTAATTAATAACCTTTAATATTAAAAATTAGATGGGAAAAAGTTTACTTGGATTTCTAGTTTTAAAACAGCTCCTAACGTCTGACACATTACTCATGAATTATACTGTAATAATACCTAATAATTGTGATAATAATAGTTTAATAATTTGGACAGTATTTACTATGCTGTATAATGTTCATATACTTTGTGTTGTATAAATTTCATTCTTTTTTTCGTTTCTAAATAAACATTATTATTATCATATAATATTATATTGTTATTATTATTAAATTTGAAACATGGACCAGACCACCGCGATCCCAGCTCTAAAAATGCATTAAAAATATGATTAAACAAAGGGACAACATAAGTAGGCCGAGTCGGTAAAAAGCCTCATATTTCAAAAGTCTGTCGATAGGTGACCCGCAGAGAATTTGACTCCTTTGCAGTATTAAAAATATCGACTCACGAACACTTTGGATCAAGGTATGGTCTTGAAGAAGAAAGCAAGTTCAGTTGTTACTGTCAAGCTTTCGATATTAAGGCCATAATCAGGGCAAAACAATCCTAAATATGTCTTCAGATTGACATATTTAAGTTTTTTACAAGCTATCTCAAATTTCCTTGAAGACCGACTCAGTACCAACATTGCCAAGGACTGATAGTGAGTTAGTTGATCTAGAGGCTTCGTGGAATCTGACTCGTATGGCAGGGGGTCATCCTCACGAGATTTCGAATACGCCATACGAAGTTGCCACACGACATTTGGGCAAAGCTTGCAATTAATTGAGGGGTCTCATTCCTTGGCTCCATATAGAGAGCGGTAGGAATGTCACTCGATATGAAAATTGATCTTGAAAAATGGTTGCGAATATCTGGGAAGCAGGTTCCACGTTCTATTGGTGTTTTACTCTATATAATACTTTAATGATTTATCGTCTTGTATTTATTTGTGTATTTTGAAACTGAAAGTATTTATTAGCGTGAATGTGCGAGAGGGTCGATGGCGGAATATTGAGTACTACATCGACCATTATTATTAGATTACTGATACAAAATGTGTGGAGGGTGATGGAGGAATATCAATTCCTTTCAGCGGAATAAAAACCTTGATCAAACAATGTCCTCTTGCCACTTTCTAAATTTGGGTGATCTGTGGTTGTTGTGAATAAAAATGTTGAGAATGAAAGTAAAGTACGACGAATATGATTAAATGGCATTCCCTGGATGGGTGGACCTTGTTCTATCTATGTCACGCCAGGCTCAGAGATGTGGCACAATTTCTCGTTTAATGTTCCATATCAAAGTTTCCTTCTAGACGCGACATAATTATCAAAATAAACTATGATCTGATCCCACGGTTTACAAAACATTGTATATGCATGACAATATAGGTATGATTTTTTTCAATTAATTAATCTTTATGTAAGGTATTGGTATTGGTTGAAATGAAAAAGTTAGTGTCACGAGCGGGATCCGAGTGGACGGAAGTGACGATAGCTGAAGTGGCTGGAGCAGCGGCGTATTGAGCCGAACGTCATGGGTTCGAATCCCGCTCGTGACACTAACTTTTTCATTTCAACCAATACCTTATATGAACATTCATTAATTGAAAGAAGTTATTTGGTCAATCGGACCAGGAAATGTAATGGATTAAATAGATATGTTTTAACGAATTTAATCTTTTAATGCATCAATCGTTCAAAAATTTGTCATGTCCAAGAAATTAAACTTTTGGAAAAGCAAAAAAGTTTCATTTTCAGATTGTACATTTTTGAGGTTTTTTCATTTTCTAGTTTGCAAAGTGTTTTGAATTGTGTATGCATTTGAATTTTTTTAACTGATCAGTAGTACCCTAAATATTGAATTCAGCTTGAACATAGGGTTTCTGCTAAAACAGACACCAGAAATTTACTGACAACCATTTTTTATTCGTTAAATTTGCAGGGAAAATCATAATGTTGTAAAATCAGTAACATATTTTTTAACTGTGTTTGAATGTCCAAAGTGGTATACGTTCTTACAACCTAAAAAAATGTATTTTGGACTTCTGACAAAGTACGTTAAGAAAGTGCGTTAGGAAATCTAAAAGTGTCCATAGTTTCCACAGTTGTTGTGCGCCAGTTGAAGATTTTCTCCAGCACACTTTTTGTTGAAGCCAGGTAGATTTTTATTACAGACATTTGAAAAATGGCAAAAAGGAGGGAAAATTCAAAAGGTGTGGTTGAGATGGGAAGTTAGTGTCCGAGTGGATCGGAGTCATGATAGCTCAAGTGGTTAGAGAAGCGGAGTATTTAACCGAGCGTATGTAGGCGAAGGTCGTGGGTTCGAATCCCGCTCGTGACACTGACTTTTTTATCTCAACAAAAACCTTAATTAATTGAAAAGAATTTATTTGGTAAAGCGGACCACTAAATCAAATAAAATGTAGATTTTTTATCTTTTGAAGGTCGTTTAATTTTTTAATGTTGATTGGTAGTCTTAGATTTGAGTCTGCAGGTACAGCAGTTGAAGATTATTTGATTAAGAATGGCTTTGGATACGTTACAGATAAATTTTAGTAAACCTTCAATGAAAGCCCCCATCACCCCTTTGTTTTGCCCTGGAGATGACGGGTTTCTGTTAATTCCGTCAATTTCAACCCGTTTTTAAATTAGTTAATAAGTTCACTATTTTTCATGGTCCGCTTGACCAATTAATATCATTCAATTAATTAAGGTTTTTAAGTAAGATAAAAAGTCAGGGTCACGAGCGGGATTCGAACCAACGACCTTCGGCTTGATACGCCGCTACTGTACCACTTGAGCTATCGTGACTTCGATCCACTCGGGCATTAACTTCCCATCTCAACCCCACCTTTCGAATTTTCCCTCCTTTTTGCCATTTAGTTTATAAGGTCGGAACACAACGGATTTTGTTGCAATCTGTAGATCTACCTTAAATAAATCTACAATCGGGATACAACAAAAAAATTTTTGGGAGTGAGTTTCGTAAACTGTTGACTCAAATAAGCTTTAAAATCATTTCAATGTTTGACTTTACTTGTATGTTCTTGGTTTTTAAATTTTTTTAAAAATTATTATTTTGTTTGGTTTATCGTCGACCTTCCAGAATTGGAATTTTATATGCAATAAAGCTATAATTATATTTGAATTGAGACATATCATTTAGTTAAAGTAAAAACGTTGTTTGTGTTATTCCGGAGGTATCTTTAGGTTTACATTATTAAAATATTAATTAAGTAGGTCGCATGGTTGAAATAAGAGGGCTATCCAGTGTTTAACAATAAACAAACATTTGGTGCCGACGTAGATCATTAAAATCCTATGAGCAATAAAAACTCATTAATTCCACGCGACGTTTAAAAGCGAGTACAGATGTTGTACAGGGTGTTTTGGGTAAAAATGTAAATCAGTTCTTGCTCAAAGAAGGGACAGACGGCCATCAGATACCGTACTCGCTTTGCATAGGGATGAATGACTCAAATGCACCTGCACGGCCTATCCACGGGTAGCAATAAAACAATAAAAGAGAGCTTCGGGTCGTAAACCTGAGTTAATAAATCCATCTGACAAGGATTGCCACTCAGGTCCGTCTGACTTTCCCTGTGTGCACATTTAAATTCAAGTTTGTACTAAAACCTTTGCAGTGTGAATTACAAATATTGTTATCACAAGGTCGCCGTTGATACCTTTAAGGGAATAATGTGACAACACGATGCGAGATTAACCGGATTAATGGAGGTTGGGCGTCCAAATTGAGCACCGTCATGCGATATCGTGAGGGTTCCTTTTATACAGGACCAGAGCACTTCCTGATCCAACCGCTTTATTATCTTTTATTTCTCTATGCATTGATCTTCCATTTACAAGTTCTCTTTACACAGATACAGTTTTATTTGTAAAAAAAAATATAACGCAAAAACGCAGGTAGAGAGAATATGACAAAGAGAAAATTCAATATTTCATCGGAATCGATAAAAACCAAATGAAAAAACCCTGTATAAAACAAAGCAATAAAACAATGCAAGTAATTCAAAGTAAAAAGTAGTACCATTCCAAATAAATAATATGCTAAATGGGAGCGTCGGTTGTTTAGGCGTTGACACGGCGCTCATCTCTGTAAGGTAAAGGTCCCGGGTTCGAATCCAGCGGCCCTGCACTCGAACCCAACATACTTACAAATGGGCATTTTTTCAAAAACACCTGCAACCTGAGGGTTTATATGACCTCTACAGTTGCGAACGCTCGTAAAAAACACGCGAAATGGTCTTTTCTTTATTTATTTACACCTGCGCCAATTGTTCCGCTTAAGTAAATTTGAAATCATCAAGTGGTTTAAGTACATTTAATAATGGACGTATTAGTTATATGATGAATTAATAAAATATATTTGAGTCAAAAGTAACGTGCTAGCAAGTAAAAAAAGCGTAATCTTCTATAAATTGTTATTATCTTAGAAGACAAATACACACAACATACACACACGCGCGCGCACACACACACACACACACACGCGCGCGCACACACACACACACACACACATATATATATATATATTTTTTTTTTTTTAATCGTGAGATGCGGTCTGGTGTGATGTAGGTTTCAGAAAAACATTTTCTTTGTCGGGCCACCTTAAAGAAAATATTTTTCTGAAACCTACATCACACCAGACCACATCTCACGATTTCTAAATAAATATCGATTAACGGTCACTAATCACTATATATATATCCAAGCTAATGCGCCCACCCAATTTTTTTTTCTTTGCAGTTCTAGATAGGAAACAAGTATGAATGAGACTCTCCTTCATTTTTAATGTAGTTTGTTCATGTAAGGCCGATTTATTTTTTTCGATCTCGATTCGACATAAGCCGAATTCGAATTCATAATTATCAATAATAACCCACAATTTTCACATTTTTCTTTAAAACTAGAATTTTTGGAGAGAAAAATGAGATCTCAGTTTTTACAATCGGTCCAATAGAACCGGAGATATGATTTTTTTAAAATAGCGGAATGCTCGTCTGGTGAGTTAGGTGGTCGAAACCACTTTATTTTGCCTTCTACTGCTAATATTTTGAAGAGGAGTGGAAAATAAGCCGAAGTAGAGAGAAAAGGCTGAAAGCTAACTAAATTTCCCGTCAAATCGATTTTTCTCCTCAACCAATACCTTACCCAAGACTCGTTCACCCAAATACCTGCGTTGCAGTTCAAATCCCATCTCTTTTCTCAACCGGGGATTAGCCACAGCGGATTTAACAATAAGTCATAACTATGTTATTTGCTATCTGGGAGTAAAAAGGTTAAACAGCAAATCAAAGGAATGTAGGAACTAACGCTGTTTATTTTTCGTTTTCCAGACTCTTGATGGTACAAGCCCTTTCTTATTTGGGTTAAAAATTTATTAAAACCTCAAATTTCAATTTCCTAAAACTCAAACTTCAATTTCTTACATAAAAGAAAGAAAAAACAATATTATATTGTGATATATTAACAATATTATAGAAAATATTACAACTGTTCGAAATGTCCACCTGCTGAAATATACACGCCCCCGAATTTCGCATAAATTATTTTTGTGTATTAATTGTGCAGCAGTATATTTACTTCAATTATTTAAGGTTTTAAGTTGAGATAAAAAAGTCAGTGTCACGAGCGGGATTCGAATCCACGACCTTCGGTTTGATACGCCACTACTCTACCACTTGAGGTATCGTGACTTCGATCCTCTCGGGCACTAACTTCCCATCTCAACCCCACCTTTTGAATTTTCCCTCCCTTTTGCCATTGTTCAAATGACTTTTTTATCTCAATTTAAAACCTTAATTAATTGAATGTTATTAATTGGTCAAGCGGACCACGAAAAATAGTGAATTTTCTTCAATATTGATTATTTTAACTTCAATATTGTTTTATGAGTAAATAGTTTAACACCTGCTTGCCTTCAACTTGATTAGGACAGTTTTACTTTATGGTGGGTAGCAATAAAAAAAAGCTTTATTTTCAAAAGTCCATACACTTAAACTTTTCTGTAAAAAATATAGGGGTATTGACTATCTTTGTGTTAACCCTGTTAACTCTGTTTGGTCCTGTTAGATCGAGAAAAACGATGACGTAGACTTGTAAGAATGGGCTAGTTAACATCGCTCGATCTAACAGGCCAGAGCCAATGTTATATGTTAAGTCGAAAATGTAATCCCTTTGCTATCCGTTAGGGCGTAGGTAACGAACATGCCAGCCATGAATTTTACAGATGTTTTTTGTTTACATTCATTTTTATTCGTAAATACGCATTAATTAAAACAGACCAATACATTTCTTTTGTTGATTTCTGCCCTGTCCTTATGCACTCAAACATTATATATACAATTAGGATACAATTTAGGTAGGGTGTCATTTGTTAGTAATTTTCGAGTACATAAAGAGAATTTTCAATGAAAGAGTTGATTAATTTTTCTTATTTACTAACTTCTGGCATCTTACAATTTAACACAAAAGAAAACCAATACAAAAAACAATAAACCTTCAAGGACTGTTATAGCTTTAATTTTGTGTTGTTCTACCAATCGTCACGCGCAGCATTGCGGAAAAATTAACTTAAAGAAAAAAAATTAATTCTAAGAAAAGAAGGGGGCATTCACGATCTTAATAGACATTTCTCTATTCGTGCTAACAGGAGTAAACATCTTACAAACATCATGAATACCCCTAATATGTAGGGTTTATGTTCAATAAAGTTGGTAAGTAAAAACCACTGGAAATTTGTATAACTTAAACGGTAAGAGCTGCAGGTGTAAGGTGATTTTACTGTTTTATTTATTTTAACAAAGACGAGTCCGCTATGGCTTTTAATTTTTCAAAGTCGTGACTGTCGAAAAGCTTCCAAGAATTAAATATGAACCGTCCAATTAAGACCACAATCAAAAGAACAATTGAATTTTCTATGAGCGCTTCGGAAAAACAATGGAGACAGGTGTGCTCGTCCTGGAAAACCGTGGGAAAGAAACCGAGATTCGCTGCATCCTTGAGGATGAGTCAGAGTTGCAGTATGCCAATTAAGCCCTCTTAATTTCTCTTCTTACAGGTGTGCTCGGGGGAGGCTAATGGCCCGCACTCGACCGCTTCCTTCCTTTTTCTTTCAACAAGTACAGAAGAGGAAGCGGGAAAGGAAAAAAAGTGGGTATAAATTAAGTCGCGTGGCGCACACCCTCACCTATGGCCCTTATTGTCTCCATCAGGCTTTTTCCGTTTTCCTATGAAAATTGACTTTAAACTGCCCGCATTCGGAGGGACAGGTGGAATAGATTCCAAGGTATTGTTGATACATTAAACTCAGTTGTCAGAAAATCCTTTAGGTTAAGTGGACTGTCCTTGCATTGCAAATGAGAATCTTCGGTCAAACAGTAGCGTCCCTCGCCATATGTTGCTTCCTGCTTACGTATGAAAATTATTCAAGGCACTGAAATGAGCTTAATGATGGCAGCGGTCAGCTCGGCGGGACGAGGGGAGCAGATTGTTAATTGAAGAATGACTCATTCCTATATGCAGATTGGTTTTATGTAGCACCTGCCCACCCATTTCATCCCCCTATCATCCACGGGCATATTCCTAGATGGATATCTTTTTAAAAGTGTTTCCTTTTTAAAAACAATAACAATTTCGGACGTAACCAACCGACGATGGTTTCGCAGCAAACGCAAGGGATTTGAATTGTTTTCCTCCCCCGAGCTCGTCCGGTTCGATTGCGTAGAGTGAAGGGTTGTGGTTAGAAAAGCGTAATGGGCCTTATTAGTGGGCAGATGCTTCACCTGCTTCGATTTGAACAATACCCGCTTTATATCTGACAAAATGATGGTTTTTGTGTTTGCCACGGTTTAATTGTTTCATTTCGCTTCACCTGCTTTTAGTCGGGGGGCTGTTGAAGGTGGGGATCTGGAACTATTTTACCGTTAGCTCCCGATTTACCATATGGCAAGATAATTCAGCGTGTACTATTGGAGTTGTAATTTCTCTTTCGGATCGAGACAATTTAACACGAGTGCCGTGACTCAGGGAGCGAGAGATCATTGTGAATCGTGGCATTATTCAGGCAGACAGACGGGTCAATAAATAAAGAAAAGATCTCACTGAACATTTTCATTTAATATAATTACCACTCACTCTGTTCTGTTCAATATCAAAGTAAATAAATAGTGGAAAATGGAAATCTCAATATTTACAAACATACACTGTTATTGTACAATACACTGAAAACATAGAAGTGTTCTATAAGAGATTTTAAAAATATCTATAAAAATCTTGAAATAAACACAATAAAATTGTTTTTCAATGGGTTAAAAACAAAAATTAACCGCATATTTTTAAAATGTTTGTTTTTCTTTTTATTTAATAGTGACCATGTCCACCATTACTATGGGTTTCTCTGTTTTTGTGTCCAGCTCCTTTTTGGTAGTACAAATGGTCCCCATCGTGCGATTTGCGACCACCACTACTCTCATGTCCTTTGGTATTGGTGTAAGAATAGCCGTGTTCTTTATCTCCGTGATAGCCCTTGTGCCCGTTTTTATACCCTGAGTTAACGTGTCCTTTTTTGTGACCCCCGCCCTTTGTATCTTTGTGGTGAGTGCGCCCGTGGCCTTGCCCTTTATTCTGTCCGGCGTCGTGCTCCTCATCGTAGAACACCTCGTCTTTCTTGTACTCGTCTTTGTGGTGTACCGTTCTGAAGCCCTTCGTCTTATGGCCTTTTTTGTGGCCTTTCGAATGGCTCTTTTCGTGGGCGTTCCCGCCGTCGGAGGACCGGTAACCGTTCGCGTAGCTGTTGGCCTCGTCGTGGTGACCCGTTTTCTCGCCTTGTTCATTCTTGGTTCCGCCCTTCTCATCTTCGTGGCCATGGCGTTCGGAATGACCCTTTTCGTAGTGTTCGTTGTTTTTGTGACCTTTGCTTCCTTTGTCGCCCCCAGATTCGAAGTGGCCCCGAGAGTATGAACCTCCGGAACTCTTCGAGTGATCACCGTTTCCAGAGATGATTTGATAGCCGCCTCCTCCTCCGTGATATCCTCCTCCACCTCCTTGATGAAAACCCTCTCCACCTCCGTGATGATAGGAAGTCACTGGGGACACATGATAACCATCATCAACGTACTCCCCTCCATCTTTGTATTCTTCTTGTTTGCTCGAATCGTATTCACCATCATCGTTCACATCTGCAATATAATTTGTCCCCGCTACTTGTAAGGGCTGAATCAAACCGTGATTATTCTGAACATCAATATTGTTTCCTGTCGCCACATGAATTGTTGGTCTTTTAGACACTGTGTTGTAAGAAGATTGATGGTTGTAACTAGTAGCTCCGCCATCTCGTGACGTGGTTTCGTGTTGGTCGGCTGTAAGCTGTCCATTATTGTCAGGAAATCTTATACTTTTTGAAGCTAAATACTGAGTTTTCCTGGGTTCTAGTATTGTTTCAGAGTAACGGAGAGAATTTCGGCTCTGCTGTGGGACAACAGGGGTGGAAGGCTCTGTTATTTGTTGAGAATACGGACTAGGAGATTCTATCAAGACTGGGAAAATTACTCCATTTTGGTTGTAAATCGGCTGTGGGTCGTCGTTATTGCTGTTATAAGTTGTGATTATTCTCACATTACCGTTTTCATCCTTGTACCTCTGGACGGTCTTCACTGGGTAGTTCACTTGAGCAGCGGCGTCCGCGTCTATTTTCGGTCCGTTACTGTCTCCCGAGTAAGGGCGGTAGCTGTAATGGTTGTCCGATCCGACGATCTGAACGTCCTTCTTTTGGACGTTCTTAGCGAAAATCGAGCCGAGAAGTAGAAACACGACGGAGATCAACATGACTATCGGACCAGTCCGGTTCGACGGGGTGTTTATATCCATGAAACTGGGAGTAGGGAGTTGACACATGATCCGACATTGACAAACCATTAATTAGCCATGAACCATCCAAAATTCTCAATCGGTCGGGTTTGTACACGCCGGTCCGCTCGGCTGAACTGAAGCTGAGGTTTACTGCGTTCTAAATTAAAGTGGAAAACCTTCGTCATTCCGGCCGATTCCCAAATGGGCCATTCTAACAGACCGCGACATTAATAGTCTCCTCGGTCGTAATGAAACCAGTTCGACACAAAGAAAAAAGAAACAATTTTCTAAAACGAAATCTCAAATCAACCGCAGCAGACAAACATCGAGATAATGCACAACTTATGGTCATTTGGCGTGAACCAGGAATTAAATTGCATGCGTTGCAACTAATTGACTTATTTATGCAACCGGGACGAGGAGAAAATAAAGATAACGAAAACCACTCTTGTGAATTAAAAGCACCAAAGCTTGTAACTGTTATCGATATGCTCCGTTAATTAATCAAAAATAACTTTGCAGATGGTGAGAATTTCCAATAAGATTTTTTTAAAAGGTTCCGTTAAAATTTATGTCGCACTTTACCACTATTAGGGACGATAGCACGCTATTCTGAACTGCACTAATTACGTCAATTATCATCATTTTAATTTTTCTACATCTTGTTTTTCTCAATTTCCCCTAAAACTTATATACAATTTTCTATGATATTTATTGTATAGATCAACTAAAACATTGCGAAAAACATCAGGTTAATTTGTGCTACATATACTGCAAAACTTTTTATTTAGAAATCGTGAGATGCGGTCTGGTGTGATGTAGGTTTCAGAAAAACATTTTCTTTATCGTGCCAACGTTTCGATCTTTATTGAGATCATCTTCAGGGCCTGGGATTTACAAACATTTTTTACATATAACAATTACATTTTGGATGTGGAAAAGTGAATTTATTGCAATATTTAATGCAAAATATATTTTTTTATATATTCAATCAAAGTATTTCCAGTGAGATTTTGCTATACAATAAATAGCAAAATCTCACTGGCACTCTCGACACGACACGCAAGAATGGCACAATTACACAGAGGAAAAACACTTTGAGTGAGTAGAAATCCTTTTTTGAATATATAAAAAATATATTTTGCATTGAATAAATTCACTTTTCCACATCCAAAATGTAATTGTTATATGTAAACAATGTTTGTAAATCCCAGGCCCTGAAGATGATCACAATAAAGATCGAAACGTTGGCACGATAAAGAAAATGTTTTTCTGAAACCTACATTGCACCAGAGCGCATCTCACGATTTCTAAATAAATATCGATTAACGGTCACTAATCACCACACAATACTGCAAAACTTTCATACACAGAAATTCTAAAAGATCTGACAATTTCAAATTTTCCTACACAATCATTCGAATTCTGAGAATATTCGCCATGTAGTATGTTGTCTCTGCCTAATAAAAGAAGAAAATCTACTAAAACAACTTTCCACTTATTAAAATAATGAAGCGTTTGGATGAAACTCGTACGTGGAAAAATCTGTAAGTCAGTGTTGTAGAGGATTAATTTTGAGTTTTAATGAGACTTAAAAAACCGTCATTGAACCTGGTTAAATAAATATTATGCATGGACTTACGTTTACTTATTATTACTCTCTCAAATGTTCTTTTTAAAAATACTAATGTTTAATGTGAGAATAATAACTAATGTTTTAATTTGCACTTTTTGTTTACCGATAAAAACTATCCTAAATTATATTATCAAATGATTTGTTGATAGTCTGCGGTGTACTATAAAAAGAAGAATGAGTACCACTATCGTAGGGTTTAACAACGCACGCGGTCTTCAACGCGGCGCTAATAAATCTCATTAAACCCAAAGAATACACAAAATGAGATATCCACCAATATACTATAAAACAGCTCCGTTTCCTCCAAAAATCGGAAGAAAGGATAAATACTCAAGTACATTTTTCTATCTAGTGGCAGTCCTACACGCTCTCTATATCGCCCCAATGAATGACAGCACATTCTATCTCTAATTGCACATCTATATATACGATTATATTTAATATAAACAAGATTTTTATTATATTTGGCGTTAATTTAAGAATTTATTTAGTTTCTATTATTGCCATTATTGATTTTGTTGAGATTTATTATAATATAATATCGCTGATTTTATGGGTATAATTTTTATTGTAATTGGTTATATTTTTAAATTGTTTTTAATGTGAGTTTGTTTTTGTATAATCTGATTTTTAAAGTTTGTTTTTATTGTTAAGTTTTAAAAAAATGTAAAAGCACTTGGTAATTTTATGTAACATATGTAATGATTAACTCCATATCTTATGATTTTACATTTTAATCTTAATTTTTTGCCTGGTTTTTATGACGTGCAAAACTTGGCAGTATTGGTATTGTTGTATAGTAAAAAGGATAGTAGTAAGCGGGGTTTGCGCTCCCCAGGCACTGCAGCCTTCTGGCATATTGTACTTTCCTACTTCGTTAGTTCAGTGCAGTAGACTTAATCCTTCTCCTTAGAAGTATCAGGCCATTGACCATCGCTGTTGCAATTTGATTCTCTAAGTTTTTTCCTAGGTTAGGTTAAATCTCCATTGAGCTGCTGCTTCACATTCGAAGATGATATGGGTGGCTGTTACCTCCTCCTCATTACATAATCTGCAAATTTATTCCCTAATTTTTTTCCATATGTTAGGTTAAATCTCCTGAGCTGTTGCTTCACATTTAAAGATTATATGGGTGGCTCTTTCCTCCTCCTCATTACATAATCTGCAAATGGGATCATCGTTGTATGCACCCATGTTGTGTACTTGGTTTCTCAGTTGGCAGAGACCGGTTAGTAGTCCTATCACTACTCTGAGTTTGGCCCTTTCCAATCGCAGCAATGTTTTTGCACGTCTTGGTGCGAGTTATTTCATCACAAGTTTACTATGTCTAGCACCGCTAGAGTTTATCCACTTCTCTTTTTGTTTTGTTTGGATCCATTCTGCGATGGAGGATTCTATATTTGTTTTTGTTTTCTCGAGTATAGGTTCGGGGCCTAGCAGATCCTCCTCTCGCCAGTCTGTCTGCTTTCTCTTACCTAAAATTCCCCTGAGCCCTGGCACCCAAGATATCATGAGGTTGTTGTGTTTTCCCAGGGTTTGGAGATTTTGGATACATTCACTGACTAGTTTTGATGTAATTCTTTTACATGCCAACGCTTTAATAGCTGCTTGACTGTCTGATCTTATGAGGATTTTTTTGTCAGTGTAACCACTTTTAAGATTTTCCAGGACAAAAGAAGATGATCTTCCTTCCATTCACAGTTACACTCGGAAGATGCACTGTGAAACCTGCGGTCTGTAATTCATGGTTTTTCAGGCAATGGACCGCATCCACGCTTCGACGACTCTGTAAACCATCAGAATGAAATCTATATAAATGAAACAGAAGCACTAAAAAAAAGTCCGAGAAGACTTTGATGGGCATTGAAATGCAAAGAACCCTTTAAAAAACATTACTATTATTTTATATCCCTTGCTTAGTTTACCTTCATGAGTGGTTCTTGAAATCACTGAAGCACGATATTAAAACCTTGTTGGAACGCAAAAAGGTATCATATTAATTAACATTTCTATTATTAATATAACTGTACTCTGAGAGAGTATAGTATGGAAGGGTATGGTATGATAGAAAAGGATACTAGGAAGCGGGGTTTGCGCTCCCCAGGCACTTCAGCTTCTGGCTTATTGTACCTTCTAGTTCCTTAGTTCAATGCAATAGACTCAATCCTTCTCCTTAGAAGTATCAGGTCACTGACTGTCGCTGCTGCAATTCTATTCCCTAAGTTTTTTCCGTACTTTAGGTTAAATCTCCATTGAGCTGTTGCTTCGCATTCGAAGATGATATAAGTGGCTCTTTCTTCCTCCTCATTACATAATTTGCCAATGGGATCATCGTTGTATATACCCATGTTGTGTAGATGTTTTCTCAGATGCCAGTGACCGGTTAGTAGTCCTACCACTCCTCTGAGTTTGACCCTCTCCAATTGCAGCAATGCTTTTGCCCGTCTTGGTGAGGGTTGTTTCACCAAAAGTTTACTATGTCTAGCACCTCTAGAGTTTATCCACTTCTCCTTTCGTTTTGCTTGGATCCATTCTGCGATGGAGGATTCTATATTTGTTTTTGTTATCCTAAGTATAGGTTCGGGGCCTATGTATAGTCTTGCAGATCCTCCTCTGGCCGGATTGTCTACTTTGTCGGTACCCAAAATTCCACTGTGCCTGACACCTAAGATATCATCAGGTTGTTGTTTTCCCCAGGTTTTGGAGATTTTGGATGCATTCACTGACTAATTTTGATGTTATTATATTACATGCTAATGCTTTAATGGCTGCTTGGCTATCCGATCATTGAGGATTTTTTTCCCAGTGTAACCTCTTTTAAGATTATCCAGCAGACAAGCATTGATGGCATGTATTTCTGCTTGAAAGACCGAAATGTACTTCCCTAATGAGTTTGATTGCTCATGTTTTGGGCTTGTTCAGAAAACGCCTAATCCGGTTCGTTCGTTTGTTTTGGAGCCAATTTGGCAGTAACAATTGAATTTTTTCCAAAACCATAATGTAATCGAGATTGATTATGCGCGATTAAAAATGTAGTCGATACATTTAACGCTTAAAATTTAAAAAAGTGAGAATCGCTACAATACCTCGTATAAGTAGGTAATAATTAGATCCAAGTATATTTAAAGTATAAATACCCTGGATTTTGCTTAAATGCCCAAATTTACAGAATTATCAAATTTTATGAAATTATACAAAAGGTAATTGAAGTTCTACAACTATTAGCTTATGGCGTGTTTTAATACCATTCTTGTTTGATATTCACCTTTTATTTTTTAATTGGATTTTTCAAAATACCAGAAGTTTCTTCCATTGCCAAGGTTAGTTAAGAACTGTCATTGCTTACTATGTTTGATCTAAATTAAATTATTTTATTAATATAATATTTTTATTATTTAATACTATATGTTTATGCCTAATGTTTTTGTCACTAGCAACAAATCAAATTTTTCTAATTAGGAGTTTTTCGCGGACATATGGGAGGGACCCTTTGCTCATTTTTTGGCTAACCTGCGAGAAGCACGGACTTTCTTCCGCAAAAACTGAAATTGTTACCAATTTGTGCAAGATCCTTTTTTGCTTTTTGATTCATTTTTGAATAAATGTGGTTATTAAGTGTCAAGCGTGTTGGAAGCGATGTTGGTTTTGTTATTCGTTTTTCCACTATTCTGTTTTGATGCAAGTTTTTATTATTCATTAGAACTTTTTTATTTTTGTTTTTTTGTTTTGAGAAACGTTTTTATCACGATTTTGTCCAGATCATGCGAGTAAGATTATCATTCGTCTGTGTAAATGGTTTACGCCCTGATTTATGAACGCGTAATAACATGAGTACTTGGCAAATCAGCAATTGCATCTCAATGAGGATGACACACTCGTAGCCGTTGAAATCGAATTACCCCCGAAGTTTACTGGATATTGTCGTCGTCCATTAAAGTCCGTTGGATCGTGGCAAGGCTGAAGAGGGGCAGAAAATTGAGTCAAGTAAC